TAGAATGGCGGAAGTAAAGACCCCTTTTCAGGATGGTGACATTAGACTCATAATGCACCGATGATGCGCCTAGCTGGGTACCAGGCCTGCTGTCATGGAGCTAACTTGGTGGCTAGGAAGACATGAACCCAACTCCATGTGAATGCCGTGCTATGGAATCTGCGAGAGCCTGTTAACCCCTCATCAGGAAACGTCATGATTCCAGATTTTGCAGATGAAGGAGCTAAGGCTCAGAGGTCAGCATCACTGCCCTAAAGTCACAGAACTAGAGAGAGAGAGGCGCAGGTTTGCAATCTGGAGCCTTGTGACTCCAAAGCCTGTGTCCTTTGCATGACATCACGTTCTCCCAAACTCAGGGTCATGTGAAAAAGGGACAGTTAACTGCAGAACCACCAGCAGCAGTGCAAGGTAAATGAGATGGAGTCAGGCTGTGCCCGAGGAGACTGAGAAGAGCTGAGGTGTTGGCAGGTGGGACAGACATGCTCTGGAGTTCCCAAGGGCAGAAGCAGAACTCACAAGTAAACCTACACTGTGAGCAGCCCAGCCATGACCAAAGTTGTTTTTTGGTTTTGGGGTTTTTTTGGGGGGGAGAGGGGGTACTGGGGATTGAACTCAGGGGCACTCAACCACTGAGCCACATCTCCAGCCCTATTTTGTATTTATTTAGAGACAGGGTCTCACTAAGTTGCTTAGCACCTCGCTTTTGCTGAGGCTGGCTTTGAACTCATGATCTTCCTGCCTCAGCCTCCCAAGCCTCTGGGATCACAGGCGGGCACCATGGCACCTGGCCCAAGTTGTTTTTTGCAGAAGAATAAATAAGCTCCATCCGCTACCTCCCAGTTCATAAAGTATTCTGACAGACTTTGACTTTTATAACAGCCCCACAAAGTAGGCTATTACTCTTTGTTTTCTAAACTAGTAAACAGAGGCCCGGGAAGCCTGAGGTCTCTTAGATGGGTACAGGGAGCTCATGGAATTCAGTCCAGGTCTGTATGACTCCAAAGCCTGTGCCAGGGAGTCCACCAGGAGGGGAGGGCAGAGGCTGGGGCTGCCACGGAAAGGGTCCTGTACCTTGTGGGGCTGGACCTGGCACCTACAAGACCCCGTAAAAGTCTGAAACTGAGACAGGGGTGGTTTTGTGGAAGAGGGAGAACTTCTGGTCATCAGATGATTTGGGGATAGGGAAGAGCAGAAAGAAGAAGCCTCAAAATGGCAGAGGGTGGTCCTAGAACAGCACAGGGTGGAGGAGAGAAGAACCAGGTAAGATGCAGAAAGGGCGGTTAGAGCAGCCTGGATTTTCCAGGCCATGAGCAGTGGAGAGCTGTGTGTATGAAGAATGGGGACACCTGGTGGCCATGGATAGGGTCCAAATTACTTAGCACCTCAATCTGTCCTGGCCTGGAGCTAAGACCCCTCTCACCCCTTCCTCTTGCATCTTGCCCATTTCTGCCTCCTTCCTGTCTCCACCCCGACTGCCACCTCAGTGGGATCCACAGCAGACAGAATCGGAGGGGGACTAGTGGAGGCAAGGCTGGGCCTCAGGGAAGGTCCACACCAACAATGAATGTTCAGTCCACAATTAAAGTCTGTCAGAATACTTCATTATTTCATCTTTTATTTTCTGAGGGCATTGCTTCTGCACCCTCGCTCCATCACTTCTGTGCACTTCAACCTCAGTGCTTCACCTCTGGAGTGCCAGTTGTGCCTGACCTTGGCCGCAAAGATGTTCTGGAGCCCCTCCCACCGTCTCCCATTCCCACAGTGGGCACAAGTTATAGGAGCCCTCCCTTCTGCAACCTGTACCCACTGTGGCCCTAACCGAAGGCCTGTCATGGCTCTTGCTTTGTAGAGTTGAGGTAGCACATCCCTGTCCAACAAATGCTTGCTGGCCCAGGGTGGCAGAAGGCTGGGAAGCTGCCCTAGGGAGTGGGGCTGCTGCGATGCACATATGGCGCAGGAGAAGCAGATGGTGCAGGCCTGCGGGGAGAGGTCTCCGAGGGAGCACTGTTGTTCCAGCAGACACGTGTTCTGTTCCTTGTGGCTCTTTCCCCAGACCCTTGGGAGTCTGGGGAGACGATGAGGATTCGTTTCCTGGGGCCTGAGATTGGGGAGGACGGACTGACCATGGCTCAGCTCCCCAAAGAGCATATAAATCAAGACAGGGGCTGGGAGCTGAGGTTGTGGCTCAGCGGTAAAGCATTCGCCTAGCACATGCGAGGCCCTGGGTTCAATCCTCAGCGCCCCATAAAAATAAATCAAATAAAGGTATTGTGTCCAACAACAACTAAAAAACAAACATAAAAAAAAAAAAAGATTGGGGCTAGGACTTGGACATGCTGATGTGTCTTAGCTCACCTGGAGACATGACCCCAGGTGAAAGCATCTGCTCTCTCCACATCTGATGGGCCTCATCCCCAGGCAGGGGCTAGTTGGCTTCACAGGTCTGGGGCCTCAGTCTTCTACCTTCTACTTGTTCCCTCCAAATTACAAATGTCCTTGAAGGTCACACTTTGAGCAACCACTTCCAGAGAGCAAGGAACAACTGACTGAATATTTAAATGTCACCATCACCATCATTAACCAAATCCCACTTTTTGTTTGGATATCATCCCATCGATTGAAAACAGGTAGTGACCCTAATTACATGGTCACATCTTCTTCCTGGTTTTCATCAGCTGGTGGCTAGCACTTGCTATTCCATCCCTCTCTGGTTTTCACATTGGTTTGCTGTCTTCTCACCCTCTCTACTTTGGTCCAAGTCTTTCTTGGAGGCCGTGTGAGCCAAAGAGATGATGGTCTCTATAGGAAGCCAGCTTCATTCAGCTTTGTGATGTCACTGCTCTGGTCACCTGTTTGGATGACAAGGCTGGTACAGGCAGCTTCCTGGTCTTTAATGCTCTCCTACTGGTCATGATAGGAATAGACTCAGGTACAAGGATGTCTTGGAGTAAGTGACAACGTGAGGTCTTTATGGACTCGGTTGGGAGATTACCAGTTGGTGGGAGGCATTATGCTCAGTCCTAATTAATTTTAACATGGAAACTCATCTGATGCTTTTTCACATTTGCCTGGTGGTTCTTGATGGATATTCTTGTTCATCTTTGTTATTTCATCTTTTATTTTCTGAAGGCATTGCATTCATAGATATTCTTTACTTATGATATCAGAAGCTTTTAGGGACAGGGTCTACATCTTTTTTTTTTTTCTGTTGACTCTCACTCATGGTTGTTTACTTCCTTGTTTTTTCTTTTTGCTTGTTGGTTTTGGTTTTGGTTTTGGTTTGGTTTAGTTTGTTTTTTTTTTTCCCCCCTTAATCTGTGGGAATTCTGAAAGCCTAAGTTAGGATGTTTACCACTGGGCAGAACTGAAATGGTTTGCCTATCAGACTGATAGTACTACCATCTGGAACCACTTCAGCCCATTTCCAAGACCCAACTTTTTTTTTTCAGTTGTTCAAAACATTACATAGCTCTTGACATATCATATTTCGTACATTTGATTCAAGTGGGTTATGAACTTTTTCCCCCGTATACAGATTGCAGAATCACATCGGTTACACATCCACGTTTTTACATACTGCCATACTAGTGTCGTTGTATTCTGCTCTTTCCTATCCTCTACTATCCCCCCTCCCCTCCCATCTTCTCTCTCTACCCCATCTACTGTACTTCATTTCTCTCCCTTGTTTTCCCCCTTTTCCCTTCACTTCCTCTTATATGTAATTTTGTATAACGATGAGGGTCTCCTTCCATTTCCATGCAATTTCCCTTCTCTCTTCCTTTCCCTCCCTCCTCTTGTCCCTGTTTAATGTTAATCTTCTTCTCATGCTCTTCCTCCCTGCTCTGTTCTTAGTTGCTCTCCTTATATCAAAGATGACATTTGGCATTTATTTTTTAGGGATTGGCTAGCTTCACTTAGCATAATCTGCTCTAGTGCCATCCATTTCCCTGCAAATGCCATGATTTTGTCCAAGACCCAACTTAACTTGAAGTTTTCCCCTTCTGCTGTTAGCCCAAGGATCAGTTTCCCATTGACCAATCAGATCACCTGGTTCTTGTTGGCCTAGGCCTCAGAGCAACAGTGTTCTTCCCTCTGCTTTGGGCCCCCTCCTCCCAGCTGTGATTTTGCCGCACGATTGGTTCCTTTCTATTGGGGGTAAAATTTCTCCTATGTCAAGTAAACCCCATGATGCATCAAAAGCATATTCAGACTGTAGATGTTTGGTAGCAGATGGGTCCTCTGATGATCTGGTCTGAAGTGAGCAAATGCCATTGAGAATCTATTCATAGTTCATTCACTCATTCAGCAAATATCACAAGTGCCTATCATGTACCAGACATGGTTGTAAGTATTGAGGACACAGTTTCTGCCTTCCTGGAGCTTGTGGTTTGCTTCAAGAAAGAATTGACCTTGGGGGCCAATCCAGTCGATGGAACGCACTCTGGGGAAGTTGCTTTATCACACACACACGAACTATTGAATCCCTGCTATGCATCACACAACATGTTAAGCACCAGGGATTCAGGCACAGATAGTCCTGTCCTCAGACTGCTCTTATCCCAGAGGGGAAAACAGACGTTTGGGGAGGCTTGATCAGGGCATAAAGAGGTATGTGCTCCAATGGGAGTGGAAGATAGGAATGAGTGGTACTCTGCTTAGAGGAGTCAGGGGGAGCCTCGGGAGGTGACATTGGAACAACATCTGAAAAGATGAGTTTCCTGGCAAAGAATGAGAGACAGCAGGGCACGCCAGCAGGGAGGAATAGGCTTGAAGTCATGGGGGAGCCCAGTGCATCTGCGAGCACAGAGGAGCACAGTTGGCAGGAGTGGGCAGCGAAAGGGAAGGGCCGGAACGTGGCTAGAGACATACACAGCAGCTACCCCACTTCCCAAGCCCGAGTGTCCCTCCAGGATCCTCCCCTCCCCCCATCACCCCCCTAACGAGTCAGTTACTCAGTCCAGCAGATTCTGCTTCCTAAGTAGTTCTCACCTGGTGCCTCATTTCCAGCCCCATTGCCACGGTTCAAGCCTCATCATTTCCTGCCTGGACAGGTGCAATAGCCTACTAACTGGTTGACTTCATCCCCATCCCATCCGCTCTCGGTGTTTTCAGGGTGATCTTTCAAATATGACTATTGGATCATACCCATCCTCTGCTTCACATCCTTCATTGTTTCCCCATTGCTTTCCGGAGTCAGCTGGATTAACCTAGAAGGCCCGTGATGGGACCACAGCTCCAGCCTCATCTCCCAGCTACTTTTAATCCAGCCAGCACTTTCTCATAACTCCCTCACGGCTCAGGATCCACCTGTGCCTCCACCCCCGGCAGAGCCTCTGATCCCCCTCCAGTTGGATTTAGAGGCCCCTCCTTTGCACTTACAAAGGACCCTGCATACATCCTTCTCCTCGCATTGTGACATTGGGCTAGCATCATGATTAACTTGTCTGTCTTCCCTATGATGTCATAAGCTCTTCGAGGACAGGGACATGCCTGTCTAACTAGCTTTGTATCCCAGAGCCTAATAAAGTGTGGACACAGGCAAATGCCCCTCAGATGTTTAATGAATCAGTCAAGAGGGTAGAAATGTGTGGACTAGTGCAGGCGAGTGTGTGTGTGTGTGTGTGTGTGTGTGTGTGTGAGACGTGCACAACACAATGGTCAGGACATCCCTCTGAACTATCAGGCAGGCTCTCCCTCTATGTATGACCTTGTCTTGCTTTCTTTTGTGGGGGTACTAGGGACTGAACTCAGGGGCACTCGACCACTGAGTCACATTCCCAGTCCTATTTTGTATTTTATTTAAAGATTTAGAGACAGGATCTCACCAAGTTGCTTAGCACCTCACTTTTGCTGAGGCTGCTTTGAACTCGTGATCCTCCTGCCACAGCCTCCCTAGCCACTGGGATTGCAGGCATGCTCCTGGCTTGTCTTGGTTTCTTCATTGTGTAATGACTGGTCTGAAGCTGGCAGTCTATGAATCTGCAAATCTGTGAACCACAGGAGAACATGGTTTCAAGCAGTGATTCTCAAAGTGTGATCCCACTATCACCAACATCACTGACATTGAGGAACTTAGAATGCAAACTCTCAAGTGATCCTCTGGGTCCCAGCAATATACATTTTACCAAGCCTTCCAGGCAAATTATGATACACACTGAAGTTTGAGAACCACCAACTCTGAGCATCAGCTTTATCACTCAGCACAATTGCCCTTGAGGTGGCAAGGCAAGGAGAAGATTGTCACAGGCCAAGAGTGATGTCTAGCTCTTGTCAAGAGCCTGAAGCTGAGACTGGCTGTGACACTGCAGGGTACAGCCAACCCACCAATGACCAGGAAGAGTGACACAGCCCCTTCTCCAAGAATCTCTAGAGTCAGATCCCAGAGACATCTCCCTTAGCACCTGAGAGCCTCCAGCAGGGTTTCAGGAATCACACCCCCTTGAGGGCCCCTCTGCTGTGTTGAGACTATTCTTAATCCAGTGGATTAGCAAACCCTTTGGTTCATCTCCCTCTTCCTGAAGCAGGGTGTACTGTGAAAGTAGAAGGGCCTGGAGTCAGACAAGCCTGGTTTGGAAGACCAGCTTAGATTAGTTGATGATCCTGAGCATGTTACTTAACCTCTCCAAGTTTTCTCATCTGAAAAATGAGACTGATATGTCCTAAGGTTGTTGTGAAGATTGAACAGCTCATATTGATGCCAAGTAAAAATAAACTATTGCTGAGTTGTCGCTGCGATTGTTATTAGACTTCCTGCTCTGAGCCTCTTCTCTCCCCTCTGAGTCCATTCCCAGGTGGGTTTTCAGAGGATCTGCAAGGTTCCAAAAGGCAACCTAGCCTTTTGGCTCCTGGTTTCACAATTAGGACTCACTTTGCAGGTGAGCAGGAGAACACCCAGCTGCAGGGGTGGAAATGGGGAGGGGGTGTTGGTAGAAAGGAGGACTGATACGGAGCTTTCATTTCCCAAGTTCCCTCCTTGGGAATCAAGAGTAGGGAAAGGGGCTGGGGATATAGCTCAGTTGGTAGAGTAATTGCCTTGCATTTGCAAGGCCCTGGGTTCAATCCTCAGTACCACAAAGTACCAAAAAGAGTAGGGAAAACAGATGCCCTAAATATGATCACCTCTGAAGTTTTCTTCTCCTTTCCCTCTAATCTGACTGCTGCTTGACATGTTGACTTCTCAGGGGCCACAGCTTTGGACCAGAGTAACTAGTAGTAGAGTCCAGGTCCAGGTCTCAGTTCTGCAACTGACACTAAATGATAACCTCAGTCATATAGTCAGATTGCTCTGTGTGTGTGTGTGTGTGTGTGTGTGTGTGTGGTGCTGGGGACTAAACCCAGGGACTCACACATGCTAGGCAAATACTCTACCTCTAAGCTACATCCAGCCTATATTTCTTGACCAGTTTGTGCCTCAATTTTCTCATTTGTAAAATAAGCATATTAATAGTATCTACTTCTTTGGGTTGCTGGAAGGAACAAACGAAATGTTATATGCTCAGTACCTGACATGAGGTGAGGTTAAAACACCCACACAGAGGACAGCAGTGCTGCTACCTAGGATGGGACTTGGACCCTGAAAGAGGATGCACTGGTGTCAAGCCATCAATCCAGGCTGGTGTTTTAGGTGTCCTCCAGGGTGGTCTACAATTGTCCTTTGCCCCTGGACAGACAGGAAGCCTCAGATAAGTCTGTGGAACTCATTATGGAGGCCCAGGCTCTTCCGAGAACATTCTTCACCCTGACTCTGCCCAACAAAACAGCTTCTTCCCCTCCCACTCCCCCATTCCCACCCACACACACCAGGGTCTCCAGGAAGCCAAGTTCAGGGGCATCCCAGGGCTGAAGGTGGGTGCAGGAGTGGGCGTGGCATGAGGCTGGGACATCCTCCTTCCTGACACTCACTAGTGTGTCTTTGATTGAGCCCCCTAAACGGGCTGCGTCGTGGTCTCCAGTAAGCGCAGATTCCCCAGCAGACGGGCAGCCTTGTCCCTGACTGGGAGGCAGGCAGAATTGGACAGGGGAGCCTGGCTTGCACTTATCTCCTGGCACCTGGAGGAGGAAATGAAGGCAGCAATTAATTGTACAAGACGGGTGGTTTGTGCAGCTTAAGTTCAGATAAAAAGTTTAATTATCCCTAAGCCCTAATACAAATTAATTAGTCTTCCATATTAGGAGGGTAAGCTTCTCTGCTCTTGCCTCAGCCCAGACATCACTGTGGATTACCGAGGATGCTCGAGGAGAGAGAGGCAGAGCAGCATGCAGTCCTAGGTCCCTCACCACCTGCTCAGCTGCTCCTCATTGACCCCAGGTGGGGTCTGGGTGGCTTCCTGAGTCTGGTGTGAGCACCTAGCTCACCTGTACCTGGGTTGTAGCCTTCCGGAAGGGTTTTCCCTCCCCTTTACCATCCCCGCCCTCAAAGCAGGGGTAGGGCCTAGAAGAGAGTCCTCCTTGTCATGGATGGAGGAAGACAAGTGAATAACTCTCTGGATTTAGTTAATTTTTTTTTTTTTTAGTCGTTGTTCCCCTAGGTCATGGCTTTTCTATTTTTGTTTTTCTAATCTCTCTCTAAGAAATTCCACAGAGAAAATAAGCCAAGAATCCATCAGGACTTAGCCACCATCAGCTCCCCACCACAGTGCTCCTGCTCAGGTGGGATCTAGGAGAGAATGTGGGAGAAATGTCCCTGCCTGTCATGGTCATTACGATTATAATTAGCTACAGCTTAATGAGCGTTTGCAGTCTAACAGGCACATAGTCTTTACACCAACATTGCAAGGTAGGTTTCACTCATTAACTTGTACTTTCCACAAACATTTATTGAAATGCTTTGAGCAGGGGAATGACTGTGCTTGGATTTGCAGTTGAAGAACATGCTTATGAATTCAAGGGGAACAGAAGTAGAAGTGAGAAGTCTGGTTAAGAGCCCTTTGCAGAAGTACAGTCTGGAAACAATGGTGGTCTGGATCCAGGACTTGTTTAATAAACACTCATAACACTCTTCCTATGTGCCAGGCTGAGCACTTTTACAAATAGTAACTCATTTAATCTATCACAACAACTCTGTAAAGTACATTCCATTATTTTATCGTTGCCAGGCAACCAAGGACAGAGAAGGTAAGTAACATGCCCAGGGTGGACCAGCTAATGAACAGCAGAGCCAGGATTCGCCTCAAGCAGTCTGGTGCTCTGAGGGCTTTGGACCACAATACCGTATTGCTGGGGGTTAGGGGGTATGTAGAGAAGGGGGTAATGTCTAACTGACTCCCAGAGCCCTCTTCCAGGACCATATCTTCCTGACACCTGACACCTCACCCCCACCCCACCCAGCCCAGGAGAAGCTGGAAATGAAAGAGCAGGGCAATGTAAAACAAACTAGCCCAGCTGGAATGCAGTAGAGGGTTCTCCCTCTCTGACAGGGCAGCTTGTTTTGAGTCCTGCTGATGCAGATCAAGTTCTTAAGAAAGGCTTCTGTACACTGCTGGCTTCCATGCTTCTGTCCCCAGCCCCTTTTCTTCAGGACAGGCATTCCTGACCTTTTGTTTCCCTTGAGATGATTTCCAGATAATTCAAATCCCAGTGTCCTTCTCTGGGACTCAGGCCAGTTCACTGATGTCCAATGTCCGATAGCGCCTGGAACTCAACCCAGCAGCCTGCACAAAGGAGAGAGGCTGGCCTACCTACTCCCCTTTTCTGCTAAATTAAAGTTTTAGCAGCTATTACTGGTGGCCAACACTGCTGAAGTTAAATTCCCCTGTGATTGTTAACATAGACTCCTGTGAAACCAGGTCCCTCCCATCAGCTATACAAGTCATTGATTATTTGAATCAAAATGCTGGTGGTGTCATTTGTCTTTGTTAAAATGAAGCTGGTTGGTTTCTCCCATGATTACAACCTGTTAAAATCCTTTTGACTCCTAAAGACTCCAATTCATAGTAGCTCTGTCATTTAGAAATTGGGAAAAATGATCTTAAAACAATCAGTAGTAGCATCATCATCATAATTATCTTCAGATCCAAATGGAAGAAGGTTTAAAAAAAAGAAAGATGTTTAAGCAACAATAATAATTTGTCAGTAAGCAGCGTCAAAGGACTGAACTATGAACCACAGAAAGGTCAGAGGTCAAGCTGGCCTTCCGTAAGAACTGTCACAGGAACTCAAACTCCACAACTTCTGTTCCCACCTTGCATCTCTTTCCACATGGCAGCCTTCTCCCTCTCTAACTTCGCCCTGGTTTTTTCCAATGGCAGAAAGCATAGCTGCCAACAACTCCAGAGCTATATTTGTTGCAGTTTCTTCCTTTGAAGGAGATTGATCTGGTCCCAGAGGTATAATCCAGGAAAGAGGAAAAGGGGCTCAATATCATTAGCCGTCAGAAAAATGAAAATCAAAACCAGACTGAGATGCCGGGCCCAGCAGTACCCACACCTGTAACCCCTGTGACTCTGGAGCATGAGGCCAACCTTGGGAACCTAGCGAGACCCTGTCTCGAAATAATACACAAAAAGCACGGGGATGTAACTCAGTGGCAAAGTGTTCCTGGATTCAATCCCTAGCATAAAAAACATAAATAAATAAAACCACTGAGATACCACTTCATACTCATCAGGATAGCTATAATCAAAAAGCCAGACAGTAATAAGGGTTGTCTTAGGTAAGGAGAAATTGGACCCCTCATTCATCACTTGTGGGAACATAAAAATGGTGCATTTGAAAAACAGTCTGGCAGTGCCTCAAATTGTTAAATACTGTTACCATCTGACTCCTAAAGAACTGAAAACATGGCCACACAAAAGCTTTCTAGGCCAAGGTTTACAGCCATATTATTTGTAATAGATAAAAAGTAGAAACAACCAAACTATCTGTCAACTGATGAATGGATCAACAAAATATGGTATGGTATATATCCATACAGTTGATTATTTATTGAGCATCAAAAAGGATGAATTACTGATATGTGCATAAACATTATGCTGAGTGAAAGAAATCAGACACAAAGGCTACATATTCTATGATTCATTTAGATAAAACATCCAAAACAGGGAATTTAGAGAGAGAGAATCAGTGGTCACCAGGGAATAAGGGTGCAGAATGATCACTGACAGCTAATGAACACAAGGTGGTTTTTTTTTTTTTGGGGGGGGGGGGCTTATGAAAATATTCTAAGACTAGACTGTGATGATGGAAATATAACTATATAATTAAACACAAAAAAAAACTATTGCAATGATTAATTTAAAAGTCAAATTTTATGGTATGTCAATTGTATCTCAATAAAGCTGTTGAAAAATAAACCCAGAAAAGGAAACCATTGACCCAGCTTAGGTCAGATGCTCTATTTTGAACTTACTTTGAGTAGGGCAGAAGGAGCAGAGGGGAAGGTTTGCAAGACTATGGTGGCTCCTCTGTGCAGAGTTTATGTTATAATAGTGGGTGGGGCACAGGTCCTAGATGAGTTAGGATTTTTCATAGACAAAAAAAAAAAAAAAAAGGAGCCCACCACACTGGCTATTTATAGAGAATTTACAGTCACCCAAATACTGAGTGAAGTGGTTTTTTTCTGAATTACTATTACAACTCTGGAGATACCCATCTTATGGGTGGCACAGGGTCAAATTAAATGGCCCAGTACCATTAAGCTAGTTAGTAAGTAATACAGGGATAGGGTTCAAACTCACATCTGAGTCCAGTCTCCTCTCTCAATTATTAGGCCATGCTGCCTCCCTCTGGCTTTATACAAGTTGTTGAAAAATACTGGAACACACCACTGGAGACCTAACTTTAGATCCACTCTTTGTTTCACTTACTGTTTCACTAAAGTCAATCCTTGCAAAAATTGTGAGCTTGGAAACTCTGAGCTTTCTTTGCTGGCATAGAATCCCCCTTGACAATCTTAAAGAAGTTCCAGAAGTCTAGAGATGGTTACTCGACCCCCTAATAACTACATTGCTATCCACACCACCTTCCTAAGCTTGTCAAGGGTATAAAGAACTGGGACGAGAACACATCGTGCTCAAATTATGATGCAATAGGTCTGTAACAGTCTCCTGATCCATCAGCCAGTTAACCTTGCTCTCACAACAAGAAATCGGGTTAATTTGGCAAGACGTGTGCATAGCAAACCAATACGAATTATTTTCCAAGTGTTCCCAAGCTGTCCACTTAATAATCTGCTCTCACATTCTGCCAGCAATGCTATGGCAGAATTGATGGATGCCAAGCCTGTTGGCCTGTGGTTTCTCAGTTCTCCTTTCCCTTTCTTTAAAAATATAAATGCAAGAGTTTTCCATCTCTATTCTCTTGGTATTTCTCTGCTGTACCATGATTTCTCAGAGATCATGAGCAGTGGTTCTGCATCCCCATCTGCACAGTCCTCCCATGTCCCAGGGTCCACGTGGGCCTGTGATGCAAGTCCACTCCCCAACTTCCAGCTAGCTCCAGATCCTTCCTATGGACATTTGTCCCAGCCTTTCCAAGATGAGGCTCATTCTTCAGAGAGGAGAAGGCAGAAACACCTGGTAGTGAGGTTGTTTTGCTGTGCCTCTTGCCTCAGCAGTGGACATAGCCCCTCCTCATTCTTTCTTCGAATTGATAAAGCAATCTTTCTGTTGACCTTGGCATTTCCACTAGCCTTGGTCACTCTGAAACAGCTTTGGTCTTGTATGCTCTTGCCACACTTCATTTTCCTCCAACGCCATGACTGCCTCTCAGCTGGGTCATCTGAAAATCCCAGCTTAATCCCAGGGGTGGCTTGCTTTTCTCCAGCACTGTGATTCTTTGAACTTGGGACAATTAACTGTGTTTTTAGAGTTTCCCACCATGGAGATTATGGATTCCAGAATGCCTAGATGGAAGCTGGATATGTCACAGTGGGACTGTGATACAGGTTACTATTCTCATCTTTATTTTATAGATAAGGAAAAAGAGGACCGAAGTAACAGTCCCTTAAAGTCACACAGTGACTAATGGTGGGATGCGGTTCTCGGACCCAGGTTATCTCACTGCAGAATCCACCTTCTCAACCTCTTCAGTTAAAGCCTGCCCTGCATGTTGTGGCCAAGAAGGCAAATCTGGCCTGCAAAGAGCCCTGAGGAGCGTAGCAAGCCCTGATGTTAGTGTGTATCTGAGGACCCTTGAGCAAGTACGAAGGCCTCGACTCTGAGGAGGAAGAAGGCAGTTCTCAAAACAGGAACCTGCTTCACAGGGGATAGAGGGGCTTCAATGAGATCATCCATTCTTTACCCTACAGCTATCAACCTCTGCTGCACCCTCCACAAAGCCCTTAGCCGTTTGGGTGAGGACCTTAGAATTCTGAAACAGCTTGCCCATCCCCTTCCACATCTTCTCAGGGTCCCCTCAGGACAAGTGACTTTGAGCCTACTTCAGCAACAACCATTCGTGGTCATGCTAAGCCTGTTTCTGCTCAGAGGCAGGGGAGATAATGTTTCTGGCTTTGGCCAGAGGAGTTATCACAGCTCTTTGCTTAATAAGGCCTTTAAATTATCTCAATAAAGAGGAGGCTAAACACTTAACCACTGTGGAGAGCATCTTATTGATTGGAGGAGAGAGACTCTGGCCAGCTTGCCTGGGGCTGAGTGGGAGCCAGACCACGCCAGTCCCAGCGGGCAGCTGCCAGGGTGTGAAGTACTTTAAGAGAGTTTCTCCAAGCTCTGAGAGGAACCTGCACTGTCCCAATGTGGCTTCACAGCTTAAGGGGCTGAGTTCCAGATACTGGTCCCGCTCTGAGACCAGGGTGGTCAATAGAAAATAAAAGCAATAGAAGTGGATTTTAAGCCCGTCTGAGGGAAGAAGGGCAATTAATGCAATGTCCCTGAGCCTCAGCGCCTGCATCTGTGAGGTGGGGTTAAGGGCAGAGTTCACAGGGCTCAGGGGCTTATGAGAAGTCAATCTGTAAGAGTGCTTTGTCAACTATAAACCTCCACAGGAATAGAAAGCAGGTTTATTATTTTATTTTTATTATCATAAATGAGACCTTATTGCTCTTTGGCTTAAAATTCACCCATGTCTTCCCACTGTACTTGGGATAAAGTCCATACTCCTCACCGTGACCCACTGCACTACTGCATGCTCTGCCTGACCTGTCCTTCAACCTCCTCTGACATCACTCTCCCCCTCCCTCCCTGTTTCCAGTCCCACTGGCCGATGGACAGTTTCTAGAAAGAGTCATCCTCCTTCCTACTGCCTCAGGGCCTCTATACTTTCTGTTCTCCCACCTGGCACACTCGTGCCCAGGTATTTGCATAGCTGGACCCTTCACCTTCAGCCTCAGAGAGGCCTTCTCTGACCACACTACTGCCACCTGACACTGCATCTATCTCTATTCTCTTTCTAGAAAAAACTACAAGCTCCAGTTTTTGTTGACATACTCACTTTCCTGTGTATGGTCCCTTGTAGGAAGTTGGCTCTGTGAATGTAAAGACCCGGTCTCTTTCGTTCACTCCTAGGTTGGATCACTGGACCTGGCACATAGTAGGCACTCTAAACAATATTTGAACAAACCAAAAAATGGGTGAATTGGCTGGGAAGCCTGACTTGGTCCCCAAATGGTCCCTTTCTTCCTTACACTCTGCTTCTTTCTCTCTCTCTCTCTCTCTCTCTCTCTCTCTCTCTCTCTCTCTCAGATATGGAGACATGGTGCCCAAGACAATTGCAGGAAAGATCTTCGGCTCCATCTGCTCCCTGAGTGGTGTTCTGGTCATTGCTCTGCCAGTCCCTGTGATTGTTTCCAACTTCAGCAGGATTTACCACCAGAATCAGAGAGCCGATAAACGCAGGGCACAAAAGGTAAGTTGTGGACCCAGGAATGGCGGCGGGGGTGGCATGAAGGGGAGGGGGCACAGGTAGGTTGTCAGGCCTGGGGTCCTTTGGAGGATCGCTATATAGCTGCCTCTGACTGGGGAAGGTAAGGTAGCCTTGTGTCCCTAACTGCCCACCGTGTCCTTAATTCCAGCCCCAGTTAGCTGCAAAATGCAACAGACCCTCCAATATCCATAAGCTGATCATCCCCCTTTTGGATATTCTGTGGCACTTCCTTGGTCCCTGGCTCCACCCTCTCCCAGCCAAGAGCTTGCTGGTAAACACAGTTCTGTTTTAATATAATAGCCTATACAAAATCTAGTGACAAAAATAACTGTGCCAAGAAGAAAAATGAACACCATGAAAGGAGAACAATCTGAGGCCAGTGGGTTCAGGGATAAATGGTACATCAGGCTTTAGTAACCTTCAGGGTGTCATAGGGTGAAGGCACAGAACTTAACTGATGGGCTCACCACCAGTCCTCAGAAAAGGTCTAAATTATGCCCAGTGTGCACTCCCAAAGTCAATGGAGAAGGGCAAAGTGCAAGGGAGCCACACGTAGAAAGGCTTGGGCTCTGAGGATGTTCCTGCACAACTCGCCCTCAACCTCCATTCTAGAACAACTTGCCCTCTCAGCCAGCTCTTACTCCCCTGAGTTTCTAAGGCATCTGGCTAGTGAACGTAAGACAGGAATTTGTACCAGTGTTCCCAAAAGGAAAGGGCTGAGGGCAGTTTTCCATTTCCCTCCTGATCTGGGCCAAAACAGGGTACCCATCGGCAGCATCTCTGCCTCCAAGTGGCAGGGTCAGAGCCTCTGGGTACAAAGGCCAGGAGGGAACCTCACTAAAAGATTGGCTTATAGAGGCCTGGGCTTTTGTCTCCTTATTTTAGGCTTTCTTTCATTCCTTTACAATACAAACATCTACTGAGCATCTACTATGAGCAGGCCTATTATTTCCTCCCACTTGTAAGGATAAGCCTTAGGCAGTGGTACGGCTTCAGTCTGGATCAAAGAACTCCAGAATTTCAGAACAGATCTGTATATACTATCTGTGACAGAGCCACAAATTTGTGAACACTAGCTCCAAAATGTATAACACTTATTATATTTTACATAGAATAATATATAATAAAAGATACACAATTTCTAATTATATGGTAACCCTTGTTTCTTACCTCCAACAGATCTTGTGCCCTTGTGGTCCTGTCCCCCTCTTCCTGTGCTAAACTTATTTTTACTTATCTTGACCTGTTCTTTAATGTCATCAGCCTCATGATTTTCTCTTCTGTTGTCCTCTCCGACCTTTCTAGCACCTGTCTCACCCAAGGTCAGGATTGCCCTTCCCCCACCGGCTCCCAGCCATCTCAGAAATGAAATAGTCTTATCTCCTTCCCTGTTGGAGTCAGCTGGCAAATTTGAACAATGTCTAAATTCATTACACAGTTCTAAATAAAGGGGCAGGGGAAAATTGGAAACTCATATCCAGTTTCTGGATATGAAGCCTAAGGCTGAAGATCCAGGAATCCTGTCACATATACACCCTCCCACCCCCCCACCCCAAGCTGACATAGGTTTCTTGGGCATAGCAGGTGGGATTCCCAAGAATTCTCTGCTCACATGGAACAGTCCATCGCAGCTGGGCTCTAGGTCGCTCCTACAGCCCCTGCCCCCCTCCCTACCCACACTCTTACCTACTTCTTAGAGCATCTCATCTGCAAAGAACATAGCCGTGAATGTGTCCCTTTGGGACTGAATAAAGCTCATTGTGTGTGATTAGAATCCAGAAGGAGTCATTCTGGCTTATTCCTCCCTCTTGCTGCTCAAGAGGGTTGTCCCTCCCTCCCACCCTCCTCTCCTTCTTCATCTCCCTTTGAAATCAGAATAAATATTTACAGTGTTTTCGTCTGGATACTGTTTCTCCTCAAGGTTGCTCTGCTCTGTCTCTTTCACCTTGGACTTCCTGTGAGAGGAAAAAAACAATACTGCCTGCTTCCAGGCCGAGTCTGTCTTGGTGAGCCAAGACAGGCAGGCCCAGGTACTTCATGGGAGTGGAGAGCTGGGCCTGGGAGGAAGGAGGTCAGGGAGATTAATGTTAGTCCCCAGCTAGACATCATGGCTGAGGGCCATCAAGGCCACAGAGGTAAGCTCCAGCCCAGAAGACTTGAGTGCAGGAAGTTCACATTGCCATCTCTATCTGTGGACACTGGTTCGCTTCAGAGAAGTAGAGGTCAAGTGGGGAGATCTTGCAGTGCATGGGCAGAGGGACATTTGGACCCTTGTCCAGCTCTGGTGCATGCCCATATCCTTTGTTTATGATGGGATATTTCAATAGGTAACTATAAATTCACAAGTAGTTTTCAGAAATAATACAGAGAGTCAGATGCAGTGGCAAATGCCTATAATCCCAATGGCTTGGGGTTCTGTACCAGGAGGATCGAGAGTTCAACGCCAGCCTCAGCACTTAGTGAGGCCCTACACAACTCAGCAAGACCCTGTCTCTAAATAAAAATACAAAAAAGGGCTGGGGATGTGGCTAAGCACCCCTGGCTTTAATCCCCAGTAAGAATAAGAAAGAATAAAGAGAGATCCCTTGTATAGTTTTCCCCAGTTTGGGCAACATTTTATAAAACTGTATAGTAAGGGCTGGGGTTGTGGCTCAGTGGTAGAGCACTTGCCTAGCACGCATGAAGCACTGGGTTCAATCCCCAGCAACACACAAAATAAAAAACTAAATAAACAAAATAAACATATTAAAAAACTGTATAGTAAAATATTATATGGGGTATGGACACTCATACAATTCACCAATCTATTCAAATTGCCTGTTTTACTTGTACCTGTGTATGTGTTTTACAATTTTTTAAACTATTTTTTTATTTATATGTGACAGTGGAATGCATTACAATTCATGTTACACATATAGAGCACAACTTTTCATATCTCTGGTTGTATACAAAGTATATTTACACCAATTTGTATCTTCATACATGTACTTTGGATAATGATGTCCATCATATTTCACCATCATTTCTAACCCCATGCCCCTCTCTTCCCCTTCCACCCCTCTACCCTATCTAGAGTTCATCTATTGCTCCCATGCTCCCCCTCCCTATCCCACTATGAATCAGCCTCCTATTATCAGAGAAAGCATTCCACATTTGGGTTTTGGGGATTGGCTAACTTCACTTAGTGTTATCTTCTCTAACTCCATCTGTTTACCTGCAAGTGTTTTACAATTTCATTACCTAAGTTTGTGCGGACCACCACAGTCTGATGAAAGTGATACTGAACACTTCCAATACCATGAGGACCCTGTATCGCCCTTTCATAACTAGATCCACCCCGTCTTAACCCAACAACCACATATCTGTTCTCCACGTATAAAATGTCACTTCCAAATATCACATAAATGAATTCATATGGTAGGTAACTTTTGGAAATTAACTTTTTAAATTCTGCATAGTTCCTGGAGTTTCAACCCAAATTGTGTGTATTGATAGCCATTCATTTTTACTGCTGCGTAGTATTCCATAATATGGATGCATCAGTATAACTGTTTGTTGCAGAACTTCTGGGATGATTAGTTTTCAATTGTTACAAATGAAGCTACTGTCAAATGCACAGGTTTTTATGTAAGCTCAAGTTTTAGTATCTCTTAGATAATGCCTTAGGGTGCGACTGCCTGTTTTCTTTTTTGGCCCTTCCAATTCTTTCTTTCTTCTGCTTCTTCTGGAGCAAGAGATATAAACACTCATGGCCAAAGGGCACCCAATGGCTAGACAGCTAGAAAGCACTCAGTCTTAAAAGGCGTCACAAGATTTCCTAGGATTATGGTCTTGATCATAACAGTGTTTCAAACTGTACCGGGGAAGCAGCATCCTCCTTCCAGCTCTCTCCAACCCTGGAATCTCCACATCTGTCAAAAATGCAGTTTCCTGGGCTTTGCTCTTCAACTTTAGAAACTTGTGTGATAGCAGTTGAGATTCAGGGAAGGAAACCAAGTGCAGTGGCATCTTATTGTAATCCCAGTGATTCAGGGGGCTGAGGCAGGAGGATTGCAAAATTGAGACCAAACTCAGCAACTTGGCAAGACCTTGTGTCAAAATGAAAAATAAAAAGGTCTGGGGGTTTGGCTCAGTAGGATGGGGTGCCCCTGGGCTCACTCTCAGTACCACAAAAAAAAAAAGAAGAAGAAGAAGAAGAAGGAGAAGGAGAAAAAGAAGAAGAAAGAAATTCAGGGGAGGTGGAGGAGGAGGTACCATGGAAGCAGCACTTGGCTTGAAGGAAGGCCCAAGCTTGCTAGTCCACTACATTGCCCTGAATAAATCATTTCCCTCATACACTTCATTCACTCATTCACTCATTCATTCATTCATTGATATGGTATAGATAACCTCCAAGCTCTCCTAACTTTCATATCATACTTATGGTCAGAGAAGAAAGTAAAACTGACCAGTCCAAGGATCAAGGACCAAGCTTGTACCAATGGCTTAATAAGCATAAATGTCTATCCAACCATATGTGATTATCCTCCTTACCTCCTTGGCCAACACAAACTGCTTGAGCAAAGCATAAAGCCCTGTGCTGGGTGCCAAAGATAAAAATATGCATAAGCCACATGTCCTGGCTCTCAGGAGCTCAAAGCCAAGCCAAAGGGCCCCAACAATTTTCATGTGTTGGGTATGGTTCTGTTAATACATCACAAACCTCTTTATCCTTTGTGAGAAATGATTAAATGATACAGTGCATTGGATATGACAATCTGTTGCTTTAATAGAGCTCAGGGTAAGATAAGATTAAAAGAAGTGCCACAGAGGAGAACAGGAGAATCTTTCATCTCTAGAAAGTAATGAAGACAGACCCCAGATATGAGAAAGGTCTGGCTCTAAGTGGTGCAATCAGATTATATAAGGCTATAATGAGCTTGACACAATTAGATTTCCATAGGCAGCTCTCAACACCTGCCACTCACCCAAGGCAATACAGCCACATGAGTAAACAAGGAGGAACTTGTTTGAGGAGATACAAACATCTAGCCAAGGAGAGGGCTGAAGCAGGATTCCTGGGGAGAATTATTCTAGACCTTGAATGATTTTTTTTTTTTTTTTTTTTTTTGCTTAAAGAGGAGGAAGAGTAATAGGACTGACTTACTGGACTTTCTCTCCCAGATTGTTCCCCTTTTCATTCTCTCCTTTATCTAAAGGAGCAGTTGTCCTCAGATTTGTGGCAGGATCTTCCCCACATTTAGAATCCAGGGAAGGGAATGAATTGTCTCTGCAGGGAAATTCTGGCTAATGGGGGACTTTGCAGGAGACATAGTACATCTGCTGACAGCCTGAACACCTGAGCCCATGGCTTCCTTTTAGCAGATGAACCAGGCTGATGGGATGCTTTGGGGTTGGGGGAATACTTGGGGAGAATGTGACAAGAAATGGAAATTGCCACAATTTCTCAAGGATTCATCTGCTCAGAATCCATACTGAAGTTATCTGTAGATGTGCCCAGAGGCAGGAGGAGGAAGCCCTCCACTCCAGGATGGGTCTGTGATCCTTGTGGGCTTTTTTCTGCTTCTTGAAGCAAGATCCTGGTGCTGGGTCTAGACCTACAGAGCCTGAAACTCAAGCTGCATTTTTTAAACCAACACGAACCCCTCTTCCCAGTACCAAAGACTCTTTTCTCTTAGTCCCCTCTCTTTGGCTGTGCTGCCGTCATGGTGACGCTGATTATGGTCATTAGCAAGAAGAGCAGCCAGCAGGTGAAGCACGGCCAGCCTCTCCCATTGCCTCTGCAAGCAGGAAAGAAGCTCAGACAGAGTTTCCATGCAAACACCCTATAGGGGGCCTTCTTTGCTGAAGCTTCCCATGTTGGAGCTGGGGAGATTTCAACAGTCCTAGCTAAAGCCAAAGTGGTATATGGAAATGTGTTCCATCCCCCCACCTCCACATACCAGGTCACCTCTCATGAGTACCACATGTATTCCCACCAACATACACAACACAGTGCACATATATTGACATATCCAAACATGACTCACTCCCAAAGTTAGATATGCAATTGTAAATACATTTATTAACTTTAAGAAGTTTGACTCTCTGGTTACTCAGCACTGGGGATACATCATTAAACCAAAGGAAAACTCCTGCCCTCAAAGAGTCTACATTCTAATGGGAGAGAGAAACAGTAGCAAGGTAAATATATAAAACATATTCTTGAGGGGCACATGTGCATTGGTGGCTTTTCTTATAACTAATATTTGGAGACCTTCTGATGCAGGGAACTGTAGTGGATCCTAGTAGAATAAAGACAACTGTCACATACTGTCCTTTAAGGCCCTTGCAATCTAGTTAGGAGATAATACTCAATTGAACAACATTGTGTGATACTGAGTAAAGGTCATGAAACTTTTGGAAGAAAAAAGAATTTGGATAGATGCTATTTCTCTGCCAGGTACACACAGGCTAAAAACCATAAGTGGAAGCTCCTTGGAATTCTCACCATGGCCAAACTGCTCAAAGTGGGTACAGTGTCTCAGAGCCAGTCCCACAGTCTCTAAGCAGAGACGCCACTCCTCCTTGTTGTTAGATGTCACCTGCCTCTGGGAAGCCCACTGTTGCTGGCTTTGCCAGCCCCACTGTCTTTTTTGTATTTGGATCTCCCTCACTATTTCATTATTTCTGCCCGTCACAGAAGGCCCGCCTTGCCAGGATCCGTGTAGCCAAAACAGGAAGTTCCAATGCTTACCTGCACAGCAAGCGCAATGGGCTCCTCAATGAGGCTCTGGAACTGGCGGTAAGTGCCTAAAGGACCTGGCTGGGAACCTTAAAGAGAAAGATGAGCTTGTTTTCTCAACAGACACCAGCACTCCTGTCCAAAAGTGCCCCCCTCCATTCCATTTGAGCCCTGAGGAGGACATTTCCAAATTTTCCCTACCCACACACCTTTCCTATGGGATAGCACCAGTACCCCTAAACCATGCCGACAAAAGCCCCACCCCCACCCCAAAGGTGAGCATGTCCTATGCTGACTCTAAAATTTGGCTCATCTGGATTTTTCTGGTGCCCTTCTACCTGTGGAGAAATTAAGTTGCTGGAAAGAGGAGACGTCACCAGCTTCACTCTCAGTTCCTCCTCTTCTCTCTCTAGGGCACCCCAGAAGAGGAGCACATGGGCAAGACCACATCGCTCATCGAGAGCCAGCACCACCACCTGCTGCACTGTCTGGAAAAGACCACTGTGAGTGCCAGTCCACCACATCTCCTTTTTCCTCCCTGACCCCTGGCCTTCCCTAGGGCTCTGCTCACATCCTTATCCTGCACTAGGAGTCAGTCTGTCCCCTTCAGAGTCAAAAGATAGTGATGGGGTCTGGCAACTCCCAGGAAAAAGACCTAAGAAATGGGGCAAGGTCATAAGGGTGGGAGATCTGCTCAGTCCTGCAGCATCAGAGAAAAGCCAGGCCACTAGCCTTCCCACGCCTTCCACCAGTTCTGTCAGTCCTCTTCTTGATGGCTGAGGGCTAAGGACTCGGCCCATCCATTTCTGAGCTCTGATGTACTGTCACCTTTCAAAATCCAGACCGAATATGCACAGGAAAGTAGAATGTTGATTTTTGTCCCACCCCTGGGGCTAGATTGATGCAATCTGTGGGTTCCTTTGTGCCCTACATTTCTCTTGAAATGGAAGGCAGTGAATGAAGGAAGCAATGTGTATGTTTCTCTAGCCAGCATTTATCAGTTCAAACCCCTGTTGGTCACCCTGCAATTCCTAGGGAGTTCAGATTCTCTGAACTCTGTTAAAGTGGTTATGGTGTAGGGTACCACAGCTGGAATGTGAATGATGCTTGTGCCTCACTAACAGCCTCAAAGAAAGGGCAGTAGGGCTAACCCTGAACCCTTGGCAAAAAGTGCTGAGAATAGTGGGGAAGGAGAAGTCAGAGTAGACAGGCCAAAGGGAAATCCTTCCCTGTTCCTTTCTAGAAACATCCTCCCCCAAAAGCCTATAGTCAGGGATCAATACACTAAGGAAGAAACTTCCTAATTCCAACTATTCTGTATCCTGGCCTCCCAGATGTGGCAGGAATAGATGCTAGATGACTCAATCTGTGCATAACATGGATACTATGAATGGCAGCAGAACCCAGTGAGAACTTCCAAAATGGAAGGTGCTCTGAGACCCTTATTTCAAGGATTTATCACTTAGAGCTGTATATGCATATCTAGAGTTTTTCTCAAAAACTAAACTTGCCAAAGGGATAGGCCCGGACCCAACTGCCCTTTCCAAGTTTGCATGAGCTAGGTGGAATGTGTAAATTGAAAGAACATGGGTGAAAATATTGAGGTTTAAAGGGCTGGAATGATGGTATTGAAAAAAATGGGAGTTTGGGAATTGAGGGATGGAATGCTGGCATTGAATGGGTTGAATGCTGAGTTTGAGGGAAAGAATGTTGGACTGTGGGGGTGGGATTCAGGGATTAAAGCTCTGGAATGCTGGATTTTAGGGGAGGAATGTTGGATTTCAGGGCTGGAATGTTGGGATGGAAAAGACAGAATGTTGGGAGGAATGAAGGAAGGAATGTTGGGGAAGTGGGAGGGGGGGTGTCCTGTTGCAGCCAAGGGGTAGAATGTTTGGACAAGGGAGACAGAATGCTGGAACTAGGGATGAATGTTGAACTCAAAGGGTGGAATGCTGGGATTAAGAGTTTGAATGTCAAAACTGGCTTGTGAATGCTGGAATGTACAATCAATGGTGTTTTTATCTTCTGTTGGCATGTTGTCCTGTAGGGGTTGTCCTATCTTGTGGATGATCCCCTGTTATCTGTACGAACCTCCACCATCAAGGTATAACTTTTTAAAAATTCAATTGATGTTTATCTCTCTGATTCTTCTGAGTCTGTAGATTCTCTTCTTTTTACCCCTGGTCTGGTTCCCTGCATGTGCTGTTGATTCTTCTGGGGCTTTTCCTACCTCTGCTGTCACACATGTACTTGTTCAGGCTTCCAGTTTTTTTGTGCTGAACTATCAAACTCCCTTTCTGATTCCCTTTTTTGACTTCCCAAGGGGCTTAGAGGGGGTGGTAGAACATAGCACCAATGTTGGCATCCTGTAAGTATCCACGCACAGCCTCTGTCCCAGCCACCTCCCTAGCATCTTAGGGACTCTGGGTATTGGCTGCCAGGGCTGGTCTGTCTCTGAACTCAGTTCTCATGCTAATTCTCCTCAGACTTTCTCCTCACCCTGGTAGCCTCAGTCAGACCATTAACACCATGGATTTTTAGTTACCTTGGCCAAACAGCCATTTTCTAGTTATCTTGGGTTCAGCCACCTGCCACCCTCTTGACCTAAATTAGGAAGGAGACTGTTAGCATTGCCTCCCCATGTTTACACTTGACCTTGGGATTCCTGTGCCTCTAAAGTATGTTTAGGATCTACGTCCCATAATCAGGAGAAAAGGGGGAAAGAAATCAAATCCCTAACAGTTTGACCCAGGCCCTTTTAAGACAAATGCTCTCCCAATTTTGTAAATGACTCAGTGCTTTTAAAAGTTTCTGTGACAATCTTATAATTCATAAGATCCAAAAAAGACGACCCAGCATACTCTACTCAATGACTCCTTATCTGCCATCTCTGGCAGATCTTACAAAGCTTACAAAGAAAAATCTTTGCTTCTAGCTCTGATAATGCCACTGAGTCTCTCCATGTCCTCTGTTTCCCTTCTGCTTAAAGCTATAGATGGATATATCATGACATAACAACTACAGTCCCCACCCTTCAACCTGATGGTCCAGGCTGCTAATATGAATGCTTTCTTTTCACATTTGATGCCCATGGGACCTCACCCAAATGCTTATCAGTGATCTGGGCAGCTGGAAGCCCTTCCTTCAAGGCCCAAAACAGAGACAGGCAGCATTCAGAGTATAGGGTGATGCTCCTGCTCCCTACCTTTTTTTCCCACTTCTTCTCCTTCTGCCTCCCACAGAACCATGAGTTTATTGATGAGCAGATGTTTGAGCAGAACTGCATGGAGAGCTCAATGCAGAACTACCCATCCACAAGAAGTCCCTCACTGTCCAGCCACCCAGGCCTCACAACCACCTGCTGCTCCCGTCGTAACAAGAAGACCACACACCTTCCCAATTCTAACCTGCCAGCAACTCGCCTACGCAGCATGCAAGAGCTCAGTACGATCCACATCCAGGGCAGTGAGCAGCCCTCCCTCACTACCAGGTGCGTGACTTCCCTCCCATGATTCCCAAAGCCTTGTGCAACTCCATTCGCAGAATTCAATAATTTCAGCATTTGGAGAACTTGTGGACCTTCAAGATGCCCCTTTATCTAATGCATGAGCCCGCATCTTCCTTCCACCCCCACCATCTTTCTCATCCTTTGAAGTTAACCCAAAGGCCTTCACAGGCTGTGGGAGGATACAGAGCAGGCCAAAAGTGGGGTTGGGTATTAGGGATTTTAAAACTCAAAAACAATCCAAAATGATCCACCTCAGTGCAAAGAAGGAAATTTTATTAAAGAAATAATTTTCACAATTGTGTTATGCATGGCTTATCCCAGAATGATTTTGAACCACAGATTGACTTTTCCCTCCCTTCTCTGCTTCTATTGAAGCCACGTCCCACTACCTTCAAATAAGTTGCAGAGAATTCAGGGAAAGCAAATGCCAAATGTCACAAATGACAGGTAAATGACCACTGCAGGGCAGGGGGATAGGGTGGGGAATGTATACTCTACATTCCTGAGCCCAATTCACATGACTTTGTAATTGTTAGTAGTTTAGGAATAATAGTTGAGAGTGGAAAATTACAAGCTGATTACCCAAGGCAGAGGTAGACGGTCTCCAAAATTTTCTCCTAGTTCCTAATAAGCAAGAAATGTAGGGGGTCAAGGAAGCTTTGGGCTGCTGGCAAGCAGGAACCATCATCAACTCACTCTTTTCTATCCTAGTCGCTCCAGCCTTAATTTGAAAGCAGATGACGGACTGAGACCAAACTGCAAAACATCCCAGATCACCACAGCCATCATCAGCATCCCCACTCCCCCAGCGCTAACCCCAGAGGGGGAAAGTCGGCCACCCCCTGCCAGCCCGGGCCCCAACACGAACATTCCTTCCATAGCCAGCAATGTTGTCAAGGTCTCTGCCTTGTAAAACCACTGGACAGAAAGCCACATGGGGTAGGGGGAGTGAAGGGGGCTGGCATGTTGGTGGGTGGCCAGTGGGACCACTCCCTCCCCCATTCTCCACTATTTCTGCCTGCCCCATTGCACCCCTAGCACTGAGAAGGAAAAAGAGGCAGCAAGGGGCACCCATGGTCCCCACTGCTGACCTGGACATAGCCCTGTGATACTGCATCTCACTGGGGCCAGAGAAAGGGAGGGAGGGGAAGGGTAGGGGACGGGCGGTGGGGGGATAGGCTGCCTGTCAAGGCAGGTCCTGGAAGGGGAGCCTCAGACCAAATGACAATTGTTTCTGGAGTCCCCAGTGAGGAAACTATAAGACCAAGAGCAGCAGAGGCCAAGAGGTCACATGCAAAACAGGAAGAAAATATAACACTGTGTATTTAAGCACCTTTTTCAAGGCTCTTAATGGATAATATTTATTCATGGGAAAAGGTGGAAAACAAAAACACCAACGGATTTTTGTGAAATGTTTTTCTCCATGGACCCAACATCTTTGAAGCAAAACAATGCATTTTGTGAGGGTTTGTTTGTTTTTTTGTTTTTTCCTTCCTTTTATAGCAAAAGCTTTCAGGCTCTAAGTCAGTTATAGGTGAGTTCTTTCTCCATTCTCCCAGGTGGGTGAGGTCAACTGAGTCTGGGCCCTCATTGCCCAGCTGACCTGCACAGAGCTGCCAACTGACCACACAATAACCCTATGCTCTGTCTGTCCCTGTCTCCTTTGTCTCTGTACCTTTCTGCTTCCCCCTGGCTGTTTTTCTCTGAGTCCAACCATCTGTCTCTACACGGATCCAGTGATCCTGAGACGTGCTAGTAAAGCCTTCTCTGTCACTGCCAAGTATTACAGACTTGTGCCTGGGAGTTACATCTGAGTGAATGTAGAGGAAGGAATGAAGCAAGAATGGGGAGAGTTTCGGGATAAGGCCAGTCCACCTAAGAACAAAGATGTTTCCCTTGTCATTGGAACCACTAGTATTTGCAATTGCTCTTTCTGGGGAAGAGAGGAAATGGTCAGATTTATCACACTGAGATCTTGAAAAAGGAAAAGCCAACTTCTGGGAAGCCATCATCTCTAGTGTACCTGTGAAGAGAGGACAGAAGACTCCAGGACTCACAGCTGCAGCCGTCCCTTTGGCACCTGGTGTCTATCCTTCATGTCAGGATCCACCATAAAGTCCATCAGGAGCTCTGCAAAAAGACCCCATGAGCAGTTTCTTCCAGAAAGGACAGCATAATGGACAAGAGTCTTCTGACTTACCTCCAGCCTGAGGCAACTCCCACATAGAGGCTGCAGGTTAATCCTGTGCCTCATGAAAGATGTTTCAAAGTATGAAATCAAATTAGAGATTCTTACCTGGTCTGAAAGATGCCTTGGGTCTGAAGCATCTTCAGGCCTGATCTCTGAAGATAGCTGCAATGAGGAAGAAGCTGATCGCCTCCATACAAATGAGGGAATGAAGATTATTTCTTGAAAACCTGGACAGCTTTTTTGTTCTAGTTTGCATCCTGGTGGGGCTGGGAACAGCATTTCTAGAATCCTCCTAACCATTTTCATCACTTATAGCAGAGCAGGTGGGCCTCAGGGTTAGTGACAAGCCCTTTCCTGCCCTCCTCAATCCCCAGCTACCCTACTGCAGCCTCTGTAGCCTGGGCACTGAAATGCACAAGCTTCCCCGGAACTCCTCATACATTCTGCAGCTTGGAGTTTAACTGTTTAATTGTAGGCCAAGAATTTCTCTGCCCACCACAGTCATCTAGATGAGTTTCACCAGCTAGGAACCTAAAAACTCTCTCTGTGGGCTTCCTTCTGACCCCAGTTCAAATGACCCTGTAGGCAGGAGAAGTCAATGGGTTTTGAGGTAACCAGGAGGTAGGCAAAAGATCAGAGGAGAGCCTTCTTTCAATCCTCATCTCCTTGTGCTTATCCTCACTACCCAATGATAGTCCTTTCTCTGGGTCTGGCCTCAAGAATTTCCCCTTAACATGGGAATGGGGTGGCTCCTGCCTTTGCAGCTTTGGTTTAAGAAAGCAGGAAAGTATTACCATACAACTATGGAGGCATATGTGTGCACACAACACATCACCAACCTAAACATACCTGAAAATAAATAAATCCATCCACGTCATACATACATCTCATCATGAAAGGCAGAGAACCAAGCCAGATTCCCATTTAGAAGGCAGGCAAAGGACTAAGAACTTTCTCTTGAATCCATGGATAATGGAACAAAGCTAGGAATTCCTAAGGACATTATACATCCTAAGAACTGAATGGGGTAAAGGATGGAGAGGTAAATAGGCACAAGGTTGCATATACAAATTGCCTGTATTTCATTTAAGGTCATTACAGTATTAAGAATAATGACTGATTTAACCATGTCACTTTTGATAGTACACCAAAGGGAGTATGTTAGTAGTCCTTACAAAATTAATTTTAATTGATGTTCCAATTCCCCATGTTTTATTGACCCTAAGGAATTGAATGTTGTATGTTGCTTCATTTTCATTTCCAAAGTCCACATCATGACACTTCCTAATGATCATTAGACCATTCCCTTCATTTTCACCTTTCTTTGCAGCATTAGTCAGTGATGAGTGACCCACCTTACCTCTAGTCCAAAGATGTTAACCCAGGAAAATGGCTCACCTACACAATAGAATACAGCCAGACTACACTGCTAAATGGTATTTTAAAATAAACACACCATCAAAATGTACTGAATCAGCTTAATAAGTCTTAACTATTGACTAGCAACTGAAAAACAAGGAAATCAGTTTTCTGAAGACCAACAGCTTTTTGGTACAATGATGTTGAGCTTCATTTAGTTTGTGAACCACGTTAGCTTAATAAAAGGTTCCCAAAATACTTTTCCCACTCATGGTTTTTGAGGTAACCAGGAGGTAGGCAGTGTTGAGGGCAGGAGGGTTAAAAACAACAACAACAAAAAAAAAACACTACATTCAAATATGTCAACTGAGTGGAAACAGAAAATACAGTAGAGTATATCAAACCTAGAAGAGACTAGGTCTAATTGAATGAATATCTAATTCATTTTATAGTATAGAAAGGTGAGACCCAGAGAAATGGATTTGCTCGAGGCCATGCAGTTAATGACAGAATTGGGACCAGAAGTATAGTCCTTTGACTAATGCTTCCTGCCCCCTGCCCCCCAACACACACATTGCCTCCCAGAAGCAATGCTTTGGAGACGACCCATGAAAGACTCCATGCTAGAATTAGAGAGTCTTGTAAATAGAAATACTTCTTGGACACAGCCCTTGGAAATTCTCTGACAGTGCTAATACAAATTGAACTCTAGAAGTTACCATTTCCTGGGTGGAACCATCTATGGACCACCAACTCTGACAGAAACAGATAATAGTCAAGGGTTTTTTTGAGTCAGATGTTGTCTTTTCTCAATGAAGAGAAGGCTAGGACGATACCATTTCAAAGCACACCTTTCCTTATGTTCCTGACAACAATGTCTAAAACCTTGACTCAGAGAGATGAAACAGGCAGACTCATCCAAGTTCATATGGCAAGTTAGTGGCAGAACCACAATTCAATCCAAGACCTAAACATCTTGACCTGAGATTTTTTTTTCTATTTCATATTTAAAAATATAAGGCTTGCTTATATTTTTAAAACGTGGTTTTCAAGGGTGGTGATTAGGGGAGAAAATATTTCATTCAGAACCACCCTGAGGAATCAGGACTTCCAGAAGCAAACTATTATTTTTCCCTAATCCCCTATTTTCCTAAGTAGTGTCAAGCTCAGGACTAATTGTACAGAACCCTTTTCAAGAGACCAATAGATATTCTCAATGACAGCTGAACACATTGTCTACAATAACACAGAATTTAAAAAGAAAGTGGTTAATACTGATCCATGATTAACCAAAACCACATGTGGATATGCTGAGGACTTTATCCAGGTTTTTTTCCTGCAGTTCAGGATTATGTCAAGTAGGGAATGTATACATTAAAACATTATATACCTAGATTTTTTTTCGGTCTTAAAATTTTGCACAGTAGTGGTTGAAATTGAGCTAACACTAGAATTGAGGTTATTAATGAATTTCAGGCATTTACCCCCTCACTTTAATTACCAGGTAACATAAGGCAAGATCCCAATGCTGTTAATTTAAGGCAATATTAGTATCCCTCTATACTAGTCGGCATGGTTACCATGATAACAGAAACCTGAGAAACTTTTAATTTTTCCCTCTTTGGTTTCCTAATGAATTCTTGTTATTTGCAAAGCTTTAAAATGATCAGATGAAGAAAAAACACTGTTTTGACCCATGACCCTTGGAATGTTTCCCAAACAGAATCATGAAGAGCATCATTAGAACTAAAAGAAAGTGGCTATCAGAAAATGAAACAGCTTTAAAGGGATTCCTTATAAGTCTTGTTTTCTATTTAGGATGTTCTACATTTTTTCTCATCAAATGTGGGAATGACATTATCTTAGCAGGTTACTTTACTACACTGGCCGATATCACTGACCCAAGTCCTGGGGGTGGGGGTGGGAGGCCCTCGGACCAATGGACTATTTTACAAACCTGGGAGGTGGGAGGGATGGTCTATTTTTGATAATCAGACATTCCAGTATGTTTTCCTTAGAGGTCACATTCTCCCATTGTTATTGTGAAAAACATCAATTGTGATTTTTTTTCTATTTTCGTATAATAAATGAGCTTTGCTTAAACAACATCACATAGCAAAGAAATATACTGTACAAAACTGCAGGAAGATAAACGTGAAAACTTTCTATGGGAAAATGACTCTTGAGTTTCCTGTCGTCTTCTTTTGAAACTGTAGTGCATATGTTACAACATGTATATCATTTACAGTATTGAGTCCTGTGCCACTGCTGTACCTGATGTATCCAATCTGGATTAAAGAAACTATGTGCCACAAACCCTGAGATTGACTATGAATAGTTATTTTAAGTTTTTTAGTTGTAGATGGACACAATACCTTTATTTATTTTCATGTGACGCTGAGGATCGAACCCAGCACTTTACACATGCTAGGCAAGCACTCTACCACTGAGCCACAACCCCAGCCATGAACAGTTTAAGATTAGTTCTCCATTCCTTCCAATGGTACTACCATGCACTAGAAAATAATAGTAATATGAACAAAGAGGGATTTCTACCCAAGAAATGACAATCTTAGGGTTGCATAAAGGCCT